TGAGGATCCCCGGCGCGCGCGGCGCCGGCGCCGGCGGCGCCTTCGCGAGCGACGGCGCGGACCGGCCGCGGACGAGGGCGCGGGCGCTCGCGCCCGCGCTCGCGAGCGTCCGCGGCAGCATCTTGTAGATGGACGAGCTCGATTGCTGCTTCTTCTTGTTCAGGCCGTAGCCCGCGAGGCCGAAGGAGACCATCTCGCGTGTGGCGAGCGGTTCGCGGCGGCGGCGCTCGAGTGCCGGGCGGCGCGATCGCGTGCGCTTCGACTGGTGGCGCGTGGACACGGACGGCACGTGCGCAGACAAGCGGGACGACGTCGGCGCTCGATCCGGCCGCAGCGACGCCGGCCACGAGGGCTGGTTTTGATTAGCTCGAGGCGAGCGGCTGGTCAATGGGCGATGTTGCCACAAACTCCGGCTTCACACAAGGGGGTGCAGTGTCGATGGGCCGCCATTCTGCTCTAATACTAGCGGCCATGGCCGCGTCCTCAGCCCGCGCCGCGTCGCCGAAATGGTGGACGAACATCGGCGCGCCGAAATTCGTCGCCGCGCCCATGGTGGACCAGAGCGGCCTGGCGTTTCGCCTGCTCGCGAGAAAGTACGGCGCCGAGCTCGCCTTCACGCCCATGATCCACGCGGGCGTGTCGCAGTGCCCGCAAAGAGGCCGCGGCTACCTCGCGCGCCACTTCCAGACGGGCGACGGCGACTGGCCGCTCGTGGCGCAGTTCGCGGGCGCGGACGAGGACGAGGTCTCGCGGTCCGTGGCGCGCGTGCTCGAGCGCGACCCGACGAACAACGTCGTCGCGCTCGACCTGAACCTGGGCTGCCCGCAGCAGATCGCGCGCAAGGGCCGCTACGGGGCGTTTTTGCTCGAGGACGACGTCGACGCCGCCGCGAAGGTCGTCGCGCGGCTTCGAAAAGATTACTGCGACGGGACCGGCCGCGTCGTCACCTGCAAGGTGCGCCTCATGCCCGACGACGGCCCGGCGCTGCGCGGCACGAAGGAGCGCGTCGCTCGGCTCGTCGACGCGGGCGCGTCCGCGATCACGGTCCACGGGCGCACGCGGCTCCAGAACAAGCAGCACTCGGGCGCGTGCGACTGGAGCGCGATAGCGACGCTGCGCGCGTCCCTGCCGGCGGACGTCGTGGCCATCGCCAACGGCGGCATCGGCTGCCGCGGCGACGTGGACCGCGTCCTCGACGCCACGGGCTGCGACGCCGCGATGTCCTCGGAGGGGCTCCTCGAGAACCCGGCCCTGTTCGCGGCCAACGTCGACCCGGACGACGGGTCCCACGTCGGGCAACGGCGGCTCGCGCGCGAGTACCTCGCGCTGGCGGCGGCGACGGGCGCGCACGTCAACGACGCGCGCGCCCACGTCTTCAAGTTCGCGCACGGCGGCCTCAACGCGTTTCCCGAGGTCCGCGCGGCGCTCGCGGCGGCCGAGGACCTCGCGGGCGTCGCCGCCGTCGTCGACGAGCTCGACGCGCGGGACCCCGCGGGGGACCGCGAGTGCCGGCACCACGCGCCCGGCTTCGACGAGGCCGCGTCGTGGTACTGGCGCCACCGCGCGGCCGTCGCCGCGCCGCGGGACCCGGGCGTCGTCGAGGCGCGCCGCCTGCGCAAGCTGCGCAAGGCCCAGGCGAAGGCGCGGAGCCGCACGGCGAAGGCGAGGTAAGTTTCGCGACAGTTTCGCTCGGTTGTCCCCGGACTGCTCGGGAAACTTTTCGAGGTAGTCCAGGACGAGTCCAGGACGACGAATGCTCGGGAAGTGCATCGAGCCAGTGGTGAAGGGTGTTGCAGAGCTCCTCTGGACCAGCCGCGCTGCCGCTCGCCGTGCGACTCGGACTGCCACAGCGCTGCCCACGACCACCGCTGCTCGCAAAGACACCGAGAGAGCGACGACCATGGAGGAGATGATGAAGACCATGCTCTGCGGCGAGACGGGCGGCGCCCCCCTGTCCGAGGCGTCCTACAAGCTTTATTATTTTGACATCGCGGGCAAGGGCGAGGGCATCCGCCTCGCCTTCACCTACTGCGGCGTGCCCTTCGAGGACTACCGCTTCGCGGACCGCGAGGAGTTCAACGAGATGAAGGCGTCGGGCCGGCTCATGTTCGGCCAGGTCCCCGCGCTCGAGGTCTCGCCCCTGGGGAAGGAGGTGACGCTGCTGAACCAGTCCGCGGCCGTGCTGCGCTTCATCGGCAAGCTCAAGCCGGAGGTCGGGCTCTACCCGACGGACCCGCTCGTCGCGGCAAAAGTCGACGCGCTCTGCGACCAGGAGGCGGACGCGTTCATGGGCCTGCGCGTGACCAAGTACAAGGACCGCTTCGGCTTCGGGTTCCTGGGCGACGAGGCCAACGCGGCGCAGCTCGCGGCGGCGGTGGAGGCCAACAACGGCGAGGTCATCCCGCGCCACCTGGCGACGCTCGCGAAGCACGTCGAGGCGGGCGGCACGGGGTGGCTCGCGGGCACGGCGGGGCCGACGATCGCGGACTTCGCCTGGGTCCCCGTGCTCGCCGCCATCGCCGAC